AAGTGTCCATCATATTCCAACTTAGGCTTTTATGGAATGAAAAATAGACCACGCCCACCATTCTACTCCACTCTTATCGATTTATCTAAAATCGAAATATATTTGTCAAAATAATGAAGATGTCTTCAAAAATGACTTGGTACAGTTTGGTATTATGTGAACGGATTAAGCTAAAATTTTGAGATTTGGTATAATAATTAAGTCTGCGAAGTAGGGATAATAAGACGAGGTGGTGGTGGTTTAGCAAATACGCACTATAAGCATACAAAAATTTCTAAATAGTACTACATTCGGTTTTCGGTGGGCGGATAGTACTTGAAATCTGAAATTTGGCATTGGGGTCACTCTTAGTATGCAGGGTAGAGATTTTGAGGAAGTTTTGGAAATACGTACAAACAAAAACCAGTAAAGAAAGACTTAAAGTCGGGCGGGGCAGACTTTATTATACCCTACACCACTTTACGAATTTAGTAGAGCTCTGCACAACAATTAAAAGTTTTTATGGGAGAATTCAATCATACACGCTATGATTATAATTATAATTTAAAGTTCAAAATTCGGATAAAGATATATATCGGAAAAAGATATATATGGGAGTTCGATAAAATTTGGCAAATATATTTCTGAGCTGTACTTGATATATTTCCCTGAATATCGTTGTTACGGAGTGCATATTACGGCTGTGGGTAACATATTTAACAAATCGGATGAACAGTATATATGGGAGCTATAGCTATATCTGAACCGGTTTGACATACTTATTTGCAGGCCTAATTTGGTTGTATGTGCAAAATTCCATACTATTCGGGCTGATATTACACGTTTGGTGCACAATAAAAGGCAACTCGGACGAAGATATATATGGGAGCTATATCTAAATTTTGACCGATTATTTCCAATTTCAATAGGGTTCGTCCTTGGGCCAAACAAATGATTTGTGCAAAATTTCATCTGGATAGGGCAATAAATACGAACTGTACTTTGTTTACAAAAATACATTGACAGACGGAGAGACAGACGGACGGACGGACATGCATAAATCGACTGAGAATGTGATGATCTATGCAGATCATCAAAAGGAACGATATCTCGTTTCCTTTTGCCTGTTACAAACAAATGCACAAAGACATAATAAAGACATAAAACCCTGACCATCTTGTGGTGTAGGTATTATATAGCTAATTTTCTATATAGATAGTACTAGTCGGTCCGCTATATAGAACTCATGCCATGTTCATGTTAAGATTAAACTACCCTCAATCATGAAGAGAACAAAGCTAAATACATGGGATATTGGTTATGTATTAGAAATTTATTTATATTATATTTATTTATATTAAACTAGCTGGCCCGGTCCGCGTTGCCGGCCCGTAGTTTTTGTCTATTATGCATATATTCCCAAGCATAATTATTCACAGATATGACTGATATAAGTGTTCACGTACAGGTCGATTTAAAGTGTTTTAAAATACCTGTACCCATTTTTAACCAGTGGGCTTCAATATTTAAACCGTGGGCTTGAACTGTGTGGATGTGCTATACAAATCTATTAAAAAGTATATATCAATCTTATCGCCATATAAGGGATCAAATTAATTTTTAATATGGTAAAAATCGTAGCAAAATCTTCCAGTCAAATGAGCAGTAATTTGGAATTTGCTGTATTTTGTATACTACATAATTGAGGGCTGAATGATTTAAGAATAGCCAAAGTTAATTACTTTTTTAAACCCATTAGCAACTTAGATTGTGCATTAGAGTCCTCATAAGTCCCCCTAACCATGTCAGTCTGTTTGTCCGCCAAAAGGTGGACTTGAGAGGAAAAATTTGTAGATATGTTGTAATTTTAGTGTAAGATTTTCACCCCCCTAATACGCATTATTAGCCAAATTCTTTGAAATGTGGTTAAATTAGGAGGTACCTTCTTTATATGGGCACTACTCCGAAACATCGACCTACATTGAAAACTTTCTTCTACCCCTTATAATCCAAGATGACAAATAGAGGCCAAATCAAAAATATAGCAGAACAATATAGCATGTCATAGCATTTCGCGTGATTTAAATAAGTAAAAATAGTTTTATCCACCTCATAATTGAGGGCAGAATGATAAGATGGGAATTAATTTTATTTGCCATTTAAATTGTAAGTTGGAGACCCCTTAAAGTCCATATTTTCATCATAGGATAATTCAATGATGATTAAACAAATATTCGGTCCCGTGCTACTTTCTTATATTTGTAATTTGTTCATGTTTCCACAATTTATTTCATATGGATGCACATCCCAAATCTACGTTCCCAACCAATATTCTCTTGGGGGTTAAAAATTCAATAGAATACAAAATTTTCTTTTCTGACCACACATTAGATGTGAAAGTGGACTTGGGGATACTCCAATGTGGGGACTTTACTTAAATAAATTCCTATGTGGCAATTATCTGTATGATGGTTCCCTACCCCAGGGTGGCATAAATAAAATTTTTTAGCTAAATCAATTGATGAATGTGGTCAATACCAATATGGGCCCTACTCTGAAAATTTCAAATTTTATGCGAAGAGGTTATCTACCCCCTTAGAAACAAAAATGTCAAATAAGGGCCAAAAAATGAAAAAAGTGGCCGGCCAAGACCCCAAAAATAACTTAAATCATAGATGGTTATATAAATATGAAATCGGGTTGTTCCCTTATCCATGAGTTATGATCGATATAAAGACCTGCAAAAGTGATTTTAGGTATTTTGAATGTTTGGGAAGAATTTCTGGAAGGATATAAAACCTTTTCTTACTAAAAGTCCCATTCGCTCTACTATTTTGCACCTTTTATTTCAATATTGGTATATTACTTATTATTCTCCCAAAGAATTTTGCATTTTGAGCTCTCATTGGACGGATCATTGTCACGCTTTGAAATGAGCCCCATTAAGCTTTTTCGGTCATTTTTGTTTGTTTAAATGTGTTCGCATCTTTCAGCTAACCCACGATGTAGGCCCTGGAGTTGAAAGGTAGATGTCAGTTAACATCCTATTTCGCACTTATTTAATTTTTTTAGTGAAAAATTATTCTTTATTTTGTTCACAAAAAATCCACTGAATTCAATATGATAATACAAATTGAAAAAAAAAAATTAACAAAAAAAAAAAAGAATAACAAATTGAAAAAGTCTTCAACTTTTTCGCTGATTTTTTACAGCAAATGTTTTAAGATCCTTCCTTACAAAGTTTGTCAATAGAATGTACTATTACTTTAAAATTCGATTCCATTGAAAATGTTTTTTTGATTTTTGCAATGAGATCTCTTTTTCATGATTTTTCAGCGATTTAGAAAAAGTAATTATCTTTTAACTTTGGTGTGACCGCGTTAAATTATTTCGATATCATCTATTCCGTTTCGCCACCACATAATTCGCTACTACACTTCCATGTAACCCGCCATCAATTTCAGTTCTCAAGAAATCAAGTCAATTAAATAAATTGGTATAAATATTCGAATTCAAAAATAAAATATAAAAAAACACTACAAATGTACATTAGAAAAAAGTAAGTCAAAATGGAAAAAAATCATGCAAAATAAAACATTACTATTGTACATTTGAAAAGTCAAAATGAAAATGTTAATATATCACATTTTTACGCGATTTTTTTGGACATTATCCTTTTCGGAGAGTAGACAACTCCGAATTTGTGTGAATCGTTAAAATTAATCCAGCAGTTCTTAAGTTATAAGCGTAGTAACTAACACAACTTACATTTATATATATAGATAATTTATTTATTTATTTATATACTTTGACAAGTATCGTCCTAATAATTGAGTGGTGCCGTTGCATGATCGAATGTGGACATATCATTTTCATCAAGGTGCTTTATCTGATAATTTCCTAATCGTGGATTACACATTATTTTCTCTATTCTGCAAATTTTTTCTATTGTCTCTTTTTCGCTGATTTAGGATGAAATCAATGTACAGTATTTTTTGCTTACCTGCACAATCAAAAATTGCACGACATCTTGTGCAGCAATGCCCAAAATGCAGGTAGCTTCATTGCATTTATCTGCATAATGAAGCAGGTATCTTTAATTTTACTTACGTGCACAAAAAGTGCAGGTATCTTTAATTTTCTATTCGTATGTATTTGAGCATCAGTGGTGTTTTATCCAGCATAACCATCTTTTAGTGAGGGAGAGGAAGCGAGAATATGTTTTTAATGCATGCTCTTTTCTTGTGTTGTTATTGTTTTTGCGAATACAAAAACAAAAACGAAGTGGTAGTTTTTAGTGTCTTTTTTGAGTTTGCAAAAATTTTCTTGTGCAGATAAATACAACTTTTGTAACCAAATTAAAAAAAAAATTACAAATTTTCGAGGCAGGAATGTCCAATGTGCAGCTATCGATTGGGCACTTAAATACAATTCAAATAAAGGGATTCAGAAAAAATGGCATAACAAAAGTTTTTTGGTCTGCAAAGGCCAATGCGCAGCTAATGTTGATGCAGGTAAATAGAAACCACTGTACCAGCAATCAATATTTCTACGTGGGTGAAAACGCACTTTCGATATAAACAAAATATTGTTGTCCATTTCATGACTTTTGGCCAGTAAAATTGCTAGTATGACTCGTGGTTGAGTGCACGGTGTTCGCAACTATAAATTTGAAGAACGCGAAACCAACCCTACCATCGGCTACGAAATATTAAAATGATAAATTAAGTGTTAGGGTATTGACCACGAATTCAACTCTAGTTTTCTAAAAATAGATTGATGGATTTCTTGAACGTAATATTGGCTGTTGGTAGCAGTTTGGCGAACACTAACTTCCTATAACATGCCCATATTAAAGTAAGGGGTTAGCAAGCTGTTTTGAAAGGAAGAATCGGTTCAAAAAATTGGTGGTAAGTGAATGTTTTCATGATGTTAAAAATTATATACTACCTTAGACATATTATATAACAAATTAATGACAATAAGTGATATATGTTTCGATATATGGTACAAAAACTTACCTAATAACTTGGATACCGCGTTTTGTTGAGTCAGAAAATGCTGAGCCAAATCATAACCACGGAGACCAAATCGGGAGAGCTCTAGAAGTCTGTTTTGAGAAGCAAGTGATGTTAAGGCCGCGGCTGGTGTTGGACCATTTGAAAAAATGTTACCTAAAGCGTGTGGTGTTGGAATTGTATGAGCCATAATCGGGTTGGGCGCACATAGACCAACTGAAAAAAGAAAAAAAAATACATTGCTTTTATTGTATTTTGATAATTTTATTTTATATTATAACAACAACCATCCACCGTCCAAGATGTCGAGGGTCTGTATTACAAATTCCAATCTGCCGAAAACGGTATACCCCACAGCGCGCGAATACATAAAATCGACAGTTGTTTTTAATATAGAATTGTTTCGGGATGGCTTTTGCTATAGAGATATTGAACATTCCATAAAAAGAAAACAATGAAAACGCAGTTGGACTATGTAGACAATTTTCGGCTAGGTGAAAACAATTCCATAAAATTTTGATCAAAATCATGAAAATACTGAATACCTGGTGGTAGTTTTATATGAGGGCTATATGCAATCGTAGGCCTATTTACACAATTTTTCGTTAGATTGATAAGTGCACATTAAGATCTTAACACAATGGATTCCAGCCAAATCCATTTAAAATGTGGCTAAAATTATGCAAATATTAGGAGATACCGCTATGTGGGAGCTATACGATATCGTGGACTCACACACACCATTCTCTTTCAGGGGGTAATGTATTCGAAATTAACATCATGTGTAGAATTTCCATTGAAAAATATGGCTACAATCACTAAAATACCGAATATCTAGGGTACCGCTGTATGACGGCTATCCGATATCGTGGACCGATAAATTAATATACCCACCATATAATGTACGTGAAGGGTACAAAAAATACTCGAAATTTTGCATGTTATCGCTGATGGATAGACGTACGTTTTTTATACCCTACACCACATATTTGTAAGTGTATGATATCTTTGTGCAATTATTCTGACAGAGAGAAAGGAAGCGTGATAGTCCCATAGTTACTTTTTAAGATCTTAATAGAATCACTTTCTGACTCGATTTATGCATTTCAGTCCGTCTGTCCATCCGTCCATGTATTCTTGTGACCAAAAACCGATTGAGATGAAATTTTCCAAACAATATTTGTTTAAACCAAGAACGAACTCTTATGAAATTGGTGATAATTGGATCAAATTTAAATATAGCTCCCATATATATTCAACCGATTTTGGGTAAATTGGGCAATAAATGGCCAATATAAGTCCAAATGACCTGAGTCTTACAACATCCAACCGAATTCAGCCTATAAGCAAATGTATAAAACTTAGTGAAAATCGGTTCAGATATAGCTATAGCTCCCTTATATTTGTTTCATCCGATTTTGTGTTTATGTCCCTCACATGCGTAATAATCACTCCATAATAAGCGTATTTGATACCGGACATTAGATATAGCTCGAATATACCTCTACCCAATGTCATCGGTTCAGATGTAGTAGTGCAACAAATGACCAATATTAGTCCAAAAGTCCTAAACTTTGATATATCCGACCGAATTCAATCTTAAAGCTAATACATCGAATTCAGAGAAAATAGGTTCAGGTATAGCAATAGCTCCCATACATAGGTTTCATCCGATTTTGTGTTGAAGTCCCCCACATTCGAAACATAATGATGTTTGGTATAAGATATCAGATACAGCCCAGAAATACCTCTGCCAAATTGCATCAAGATCGGTTCAGATTTGCTCCCATACATATCTTCAACCGATTTCGAGTTAATTGTGCACAAAAAAAATAATATATATATATATATATATATATATATATATATATATATATATATATACTAGCTGGCCTAGTCGGCGTTGCCGTCCCGTAGTTTTAGTCATTAGTTTATTGTTTTGAAAGTATAATAATTCACAGATCTGGCTCACACAAATGGCACAATTTGTAGTATAAATAATGACTTGACTAATTAGAAATTAATACGCATCGCAAAAATGTCAATACAGGTTCACGTAATGGGCAATTTATAGTGTTTTAAAAAACCCGATCCTACTTTTCAAGCAGAGATTTTAATTTGAGAGTCAAAAGCCTAAATAATAGGTTACATATTAAAAAAAGTATACATCAACTGTTTATAATAGCCCATGTAAGATAATTATCTTCCCCTATATTAGCCTAAATACACATTTTAAGCCAAATCGCTTCGAAATTATGACCAAAAACCTCGAAATAGGTAAAATCAGGAGGTACTTTTATGTGGGCGCTACTCCAAAACATTGACATTGAAAATTTTCCGCGAAGAGGTCTTCTACCCCCTTAGATGCTACGATGCCAAATAAGGGTAAAATCAATTGAAAAATGTGACCAAGACCCTGGAAATTGCTGTAATCAACGGATACCTTCATATAAGGGTTATACCAAAGCATGGTCCTATACTTCTAATTATTCGAAAGAATGTGTTGTTCTTTCTAAAATCTCAAACCACCAACATTTGAAGAATTTGAATAGGGCTGTATCATTAAAGGGGGGCTATATCACAATACAGATCGACCTGATACATATTTTGTACAAATGATTCTTCGCGTAACCCCTAGGAGTATAGAGCAAAACATTTGAGGCCTTTTGTGTATGGTTGAGCTATATAAAAGGGCCCTAAAAACGCTTGACCCGAATAATTTCCCAAGTGTAATTTCCCGCAGTGTAATTACTGACGATAGCGCATAGTCCCCGTATAACATTACATGTGAGTTAAGGTTACTTTTAAGGGTTCGGAAGAATTTACCGAGGATATGAATCCTTTTCTTACTAAATTTTCAATTCGCTCCACTATTTTGTATAGTCCGCATATTACAGTGCCTCTTCATATTCGGTATTTCACTGATTGCAATCTCAATGCATTTTTGATTTTGAGTTCTCATTAGATGGGTTATTTCCATATCTAGTCAATTTTTTGGAGTTTTGGACCTCAGAATCGATAGTAATTTCTAAATTGAAATATGACTTTAATTTAACTATCAAAAGTTTCATCGATTAATAAAAGTTAATGACCCCATAAAGTATGTTAAAGTTAAGGACCCCCTAAAGTATGTGTGTTCGTTCAACATTTGCAGTTACGATAGAGGTCACCAAATTGAATATGTGTCTTTCAAACTCTTCACAGGTTTTTATATTATTCTTAGGATGATTGATGTTGCAAAAGATATATATTTGTTCCCATTTAGATATAGCCCTCATACAATATAATATCCTACTATTCTTCAACCAAATGTGCTCTAATTTGGCCGATTTGAGGTATTTTGAAGGGCTCAAAAGCATTTTTGAGGTTAGAAATCTTTTGCCAAAAAATTACAACATAAGTCCACTTTAGGATTTATTTCCTATTCACCCGTGCATTTTTATATTCCTCATTTCATCGTATATAATTAAATTTTCAAACCTCAATTATCAGCATTATAAAAGTCTTAGCAATATTTCCAAATCAAAAGTAATTATGAATTCGTAAATTTTAGAAGATCGTGTTGTAAGGTATTTTGTTTTTACCAGTGGAAAATACTATGTCAATTAAACTATATCCGTCTGTGTGTGCAGCCGTTCGTGTGTGAATTATTTAGGTTAATCTTTGATCTTTTATACAATATTCCTACGAAGTTAGAATATGTCCGTTTCGTTTAGGTATAATAATACCACTAAAAATTCGTCTGTTTTTGTTTCAATTTCTACAGAATTATCTGTAATTTGACATTTTAAGTCTTCGGTATTGTGAAATCAATACCGGCAATAAATGTTTAAGAATTTTAAGCATTTTCAATTCCACACAAAAATCCATATCAAAAGAGAAAAGTAAATTTTTCAGTTCCGCGGTTTTTATAGAGGTTTTTTATCAAAACTTTCTTTCATGAAAACGTTTCCAATAAGTTCGAAATATATACTACTTTCCAGAGAACGGCCCTTGTAAGCCATCGTCCACACCAAATATGCCTGATGAGCCGCTTAACCAACGGCGAAACGCGTCGCATAGTGGTGAGTGTGTGATAGTGTCTATCTGGCTTTCCTTTTCACTACAAATTTCAGATCATTAAGCTCGTCTCAAAAGAGAAAACAAACACATAAAAAACAATTGATTTATATATATTCTAGCTGGTCCGGTCCGCGTTGCCGAGCCGTAGTTTTCGTCTATTATGCATATTTGTCAAAGCATAATTATTGACAGATATGACTGAAATAAGAGTTCACGTACTGGTCGATTAAAAGTGTTTTAAAATACCTGTACCCATATTTAAGCCGTGGGCTTCAATATTTAAACCGTGGACTTCAAATGTATGGATGTGCTATACAAATCCATTAAAAAGTATATATCAATCTTATCCCCATGTAAGGGATCAAATTAATTTTTAGTATGGTAAAAATCGTAGCAAAATTTTCCAGTCAAATGAGCAGTAATTCGTAATGTACAGTATTTTGAACACCTCATAATTGAGGGCTGAATGATTTAAGAATAGCCAAAGCTAATTTCTTTTTTAAACCCATTATCACCTCAGATTGTGCATTAGAGTCCTCATAAGGTCCCCTATCCATGTCGGTCTATTTGTCCGCCAAAACGTGGACTTGAGGGGGTACTATTACATGGAGAAAATTCTACAATTTGTAGATATGTAGAAATTTTTGTGTAAGATTTCCACTCCAAATATACATTTTTAGACAAATCCTTTGAAATATGGTAAAATCTGGGGGTACCTTTACTTGGGCACTACTCCGAAACATCGACCTACATTGAAAACTTTCTTCTACCCCCTATAATCCAATATGACAAATAGAGGCCAATTCAAAAATATAGCTAGTTTACACCCATTACCGTATGATGGGAATTAATTTTATTTGCAATTAAATTGTAAGTTGTCCATATTTTTCATCATAGTATAATTTAATAACGATTTAACTAATATTCGGTCCCGTGCTACTTTCTTATATTTGTAATTTGTTCATGTTTTCACAATTTATTTCATATAGATGTACATTCCAAATCTAAGTTCCCAACCAATATTCTCTTGGAGGTTACAAATTCAATAGAATACAAAATTGTCTTTTCTGACCAAGCATTAGATGTGAAATTGGACTTGGGGATACTCCAATGTGGGGACTTTACTTAAATAAATTCCTATGGGGCAATTATCT